AAGATGGGACGCGAGCCCTTCCTGGACCTCTGAGCCCTGCGTTCGTCATCGCTCGGCTCCCGATGGTTGTCCTTGCCGCACAGAACAACGACAACACGTCGCCCATCAGCACCAGGATTCGGACTTAGTGGTTGATGAATTAGACGCGAACACTTTCGAGCGGTGTGAAACCTGCGGTTGTGCGTCTGAATCCAGAGAGCAACTGGAGTTGCCGCAACAATACGTGCCCTCTGCTACGCGGAACCTTCAGCACAAGCCAGAAGCATCAGTTGAGGACCCGGAGAGGCACGAGTTGCCCGTCTTCGTACGTGGCGCTTTTGAGTCGGCCGATGAATCGGACTGCGATGCGGAGCTCAGTGAGTACGCCGGCATTCAAAATCATCGAATGGTCACAGAAGACAATGACGAGTGGGGCTACTTGTCAGATGACAGCCAGGAAAGGGTGAGTGATGATGAGCTGGGGACCGTCTCTGAAGACATGAACTGGCGGCATCCAAGTGCCCTTCTGAGAGTGAACTTTGATAAAAGTGAGGGCCACGTTGTGGCCGCACGTGAGAGCGTAAATGAAACAGGTCTGACGTTAGAGCGGAACACTTCCGATAAGCCCTCCGAGGGATTCCTTACGGAAGACGACGTCTCCTCAGATGGCTCTTCTTCTGAGTCCTTCAAGACTTGCGCAGAAGACTCCGAAAACAGCTTGATTTCCTCCGAATCTGAATCTGAAAAAGAAACTCCGGAAGACTGGAGTGACGACCAGACCCGGTGGGAATCGTGCGAGGATGACGAAGAGCCACGCAACCTCTCCGGGACTGTTCATGATGAAAAGAAAACATCCAATTTTGTCCTTGAAGATTATTTTGATTTATTTGACAGGGTTGACTATCATGGTCCAACCTTGACACAGTCGCAACGATACATCTCTTGCTTTGATGGAGGAGACATCCACGATTGCCTGTATGGTGACCAACTTCAGGCCGAGAAGCAACCGCAAAATGCGCGCCGGCTCACAGAAACAAAGCCACACAGGAATGACTCTTCAGAAAAAACATTTGAAGGCATTCGTGGTTGTGATTCCAACTGGAGAGGTGCGTCGGTTGCCCGACCAGAAGACTGCAAAGCCCAACATGAACTTGATGATGTTTGCGAGGAGAGCAATGTGAACGAGGCCAAAACTTGTGATGCCGCAGAACCATTGAACAAACCTCAAATTAAAAGCCTTCCGACATCATCAGAACGATTGCCGAACAGCGTTGTTTTGAATGCGCAGATGATCGATGCGCCGAACGAAGGTCGTTGGGTTGCGTCTGAGAGCGAGACGCAGTTTGGACATGCCGCCTGTCCACAGGAAAGCCAAGTCGGCGACGTGAACGAACATTGCTCTGCAAGAGGAGAAAGCAAGGCCTCAAACGAAGACTCTGCTTCGATTGAAATCTCAAGAGAAGTCCGAGCAGATATTATTCACAGCGTCGTCTCAGAGTACGACAAGACTGAAAAAGGGGACTCCCCGGGACAGACCGGGACGACCGAGGACTTGGACGATGAGGACTGCGATGGTGATCCTGATCAACTTTGCCACTGCGACTACTGCATACCGCCAAGTACGCAGGTACGTTGTCTCTGTCGATTGCTGGTTGCCGAGATTCAGCGTTTGCCGATAATTAGCGATAAGCGAAAGATTAGAAATTGAAACACAAAGGCAATATACGAACAAGTTCATCTGGAGCCCACACTGTCTGGCTTTTCAACAATCAGACAACTGTGCAGCAGAACTGTTGACAGAGGTCTTGGGAGACTGAGGGCATCTCTTTGAGTCTGCCCCCAGAGCGCTTTGCTCCACCAACTGGAGCAGCTGATCTATTTGTTTATAGACGGATGATGATGATGACAGGATGGGACAAGGAAGAGCGCCGTGTTTGATCTGTCGACACGGCAGCCGCAGGAGCAGCTTCGAAAAGCCGTCATTAAAACAACACTCATTCCTGGCTCACCGAAATGAATAGAAAACATTCGCTGCGTGTTTGCACTCGCCGACGTTTTGGCCAAGGACTTGAGATGGTCCACGGTCTTCTGTTATTCCCAGGTCCCAACAAAAGCGCTGCTCCCACAACTGGAATCTCACGATACGGGGAAGATCTGCGTGGTCATCGACTTGGACGAAACCTTAGTGCACAGTTCCTTTACGGTAAGTTGGCCAAAGCTCGCACAGAGTTACCAAGCAAGTTTCTTCTTGAAGATGGAGCACGTTTGCAGACTCTTGAATCGCTTGAGTTCTCATCCGATATCACGTTGTTTGTTGCTGTCATTGGATTGGTTTATATATTCATGGAGTCCCAAAGACTCAGTGCCAAAACTCACTCACTAGCACCCCCTGGATAGAGAGGAAGTCAGAGAGAGAAGGGAAAAAAAAAACACACCATGACACTAGTTTCATCAATCAACACACACATTTTGGTCGTCTGTCATGACAGGATACACAAAAGAGTGATGGGGCTTTTTTTGTACTCGTAACTTGTGCTTTAACAGATGATGATCTTGCGCTCCTTGCTAACCGTATTGACTCCCGACTTGTTCCTTTGCTTGCTTTTATTGGGTCTTGATGGGCTCACCAGTTTTTCATCTGGAAGTGCAACACTTGTTTTTCTTTGACAGCCAGTCAACCATGCTGATTTCATCACTCCGGTGGACATCGATGGAACGGTTTACCAGGTAAGCTCCTCAAACACAGTCCTACACACCCACTTGGGCTACTGCAAGAGATGCGGGACAAGCATACTTTTTTTGCATTTTGAAATCCAACCAAAAGATTGCTGACACACACGTCCAGCCCGACCACAACACCGACACGGACGAGGCGGCGCTCACTTTCGACATCCCAAGTAAACCGACTGTAGAAAAGAAGGGCACCGGCGTGGTCCCGATGCGCACGTCAAGTCTGCTTCACTGTTGTGCTTTGTTGCCATGGTAATGGACAGAAACGGCCAAAGTGAAGTTACGCCACAATTTGTGACTGGTTTGCGGATGCTTGGTCGAAGGTGGCCGCTTGCACTGTTGTCCGAGCTTTCTCAAAAGCCGACGTCGTTTCTGAGGAGCTGTAAATGTCACAGGCGTCACGTTTGTTCATTTCTGTCCTTTTTTTGTTGTCGCCTGCCCCCTCAGGTTTATGTCTCCAAGCGACCCCACGTGGATGAATTCCTCAGACGCATGGGGGAGATGTTTGAATGTGTCTTATTCACGGGGAGCCTCTCCAAGGTTGGTTTGCGGTTAGGGTTATTTAGGTTATTTATGATGATTTATTTAGCCGCATGTATGCTAGTGAAAAATATCTGTAATTTTTGGGTGCCACTACCTGGAAAGTTAAGGGGGGAAAAAAAAATTGCCCAATAACATTTTCACTGGTGGGCCGTTTTATTGTTGCCCCGGCATTAACACTAACGGCTTTATTTAATCATGCTCCAGTTTTAGAGCCAAGAGAAATTGGGTCTTTTTTGGTTAGGGTTAGGGTTATTTAGGTTATTTATGATGATTTATTTAGCCGCATGTATGCTAGTGAAAAATATCTGTAATTTTTGGGTGCCACTACCTGGAAAGTTAAGGGGGGAAAAAAAAATTGCCCAATAACATTTTCACTGGTCAACACTGGAATGTGATCGACACCTTTGATGACACAAGAGGCACAAAAAAGCCCCATGCCTGAAATCAAACACGAAGCCCAAGTATCCATTTAGAAAGGCAGGAAAGGAGGAGTCACTTTTCCCTTTTTCGCTTCAAGTGGCGGCATGCTTCATGAGCTCATTCAGTTTCTCCAGTAACTATTTTGTTGTATTTTGTTTTTGTTTTTTTTCCCTTCAACAGTATGCGGATCCCGTGTCAGACATCCTGGACAAATGGGGAGCTTTCCGAAGCCGTCTCTTCAGGGAGGCGTGCGTCTTCCACAAAGGCAATTACGTCAAAGACTTGAGCCATTTAGGGAGGGACCTCAACAAAGTCATCATCATCGACAACTCGCCCGCCTCCTACACTTTCCACCCGGACAACGCGGTACGTTTTGCGTGCATTCTTGCCCAAGATGCCTCCTAAATGTCGGCGTCCTTTAGGTTCCTGTGGCATCCTGGTTCGACGACATGTCGGATAGCGAGCTCCTCGACCTGATCCCCTTTTTCGAAAGGCTAAACAACGTGGACGACGTCTACGACGTCCTGAAGGAGCAGAGGGCCCTGGGATGAGCGCGAGCGTCGAGATCAGCGCAGTGGCGCCTTTGACTTTCTCACGGACGGCTTTCGGTTTTCACGGGAAGTGATTTCAAATCAGGACGCAAAAGCACAAGTTTGTCTGTTTGCATTAGGGGCCAAGTGGGGCAGTGACCTGCCAGATCCAGCAGGTGGCGTATGTGTTTTTTTTTTTTCAACCACGTTTCTCTACAAAGGCGCACTCTTTAGAGCACTGTGCTGTCCTCACGACATCTGACTACATGCGGTTGGACAGCCCGAAAACCCAGTCAGGAAAAGTCTAACCGCGATGAGAACTTTTCTCACAGAGCAGAAATGCATCAAAGATCTACTATTCACAACAGATGCGTTTACATGTAAAAGGCGACAACGTGAGAGTTAAAATGACAAGCGTTTGTCATGATCACGTTCTGTGATTGTCCAGCAGGTGGCGTTCCGGTTTTCCCGTCGCGCACTTGTCTGGCGTCACAATGATTGGGAGGATTTAAGGAGCTCCCGGAGGTCCCGTCAAGGCGGCACCTAATTTCGCCTCGTTCAAGTCATTGTTCACGTGCATTTCGTCTCGAGGCTCTCTTATTGCTCTCGTTACGTTTTTGGCTCTCGCCTTGATGTCTGTTTTCTCCGTTTGTTGGCTCCCGCCTTTGCTGATGTTGTTCGTTATTCAAGTCAATAGTTCTTGGTGTGTTGAAGCGGATCCAAGGTTTGTTCTCCAGGCGGTTTGGTTTTTCTTGTACTTTAGTTGCAAACTATTTTCTTTTTTTTTTTCCTTAGAACATGAGCATGAAAAATGCTGCTTCAACTCAGTCAGACCGATGCTCCAAGCGACCCCACGTGGATGAATTCCTCAGACGCATGGGGGAGATGTTTGAATGTGTCTTATTCACGGCGAGCCTCTCCAAGGTTGGTTTGCTGCCGCTCGCAAGGCGTTCTGAGAAGTGCCCAGTCAAGAATGTGCCTTGCGCTTTTATGTGTGAGGTGGCACCTGCTGTTTGATTATCACATACTTGGAATGGCAGCCACGTCGTTCCGACGTTGTTGTGGGCCGTTTTATTGTTGCCCCGGCATTAACACTAACGGCTTTATTTAATCATGCTCCAGTTTTAGAGCCAAGAAGGTTGGTTTGCTGCCGCTCGCAAGGCGTTCTGAGAAGTGCCCAGTCAAGAATGTGCCTTGCGCTTTTATGTGTGAGGTGGCACCTGCTGTTTGATTATCACATACTTGGAATGGCAGCCACGTCGTTCCGACGTTGTTGTGGGCCGTTTTATTGTTGCCCCGGCATTAACACTAACGGCTTTATTTAATCATGGTAATGTTTGGGTGCCACTACCTGGAAAGTTAAGGGGGGAAAAAAAAATTGCCCAATAACATTTTCACTGGTCAACACTGGAATGTGATCGACACCTTTGATGACACAAGAGGCACAAAAAAGCCCCATGCCTGAAATCAAACACGAAGCCCAAGTATCCATTTAGAAAGGCAGGAAAGGAGGAGTCACTTTTCCCTTTTTCGCTTCAAGTGGCGGCATGCTTCATGAGCTCATTCAGTTTCTCCAGTAACTATTTTGTTGTATTTTGTTTTTGTTTTTTTTCCCTTCAACAGTATGCGGATCCCGTGTCAGACATCCTGGACAAATGGGGAGCTTTCCGAAGCCGTCTCTTCAGGGAGGCGTGCGTCTTCCACAAAGGCAATTACGTCAAAGACTTGAGCCATTTAGGGAGGGACCTCAACAAAGTCATCATCATCGACAACTCGCCCGCCTCCTACACTTTCCACCCGGACAACGCGGTACGTTTTGCGTGCATTCTTGCCCAAGATGCCTCCTAAATGTCGGCGTCCTTTAGGTTCCTGTGGCATCCTGGTTCGACGACATGTCGGATAGCGAGCTCCTCGACCTGATCCCCTTTTTCGAAAGGCTAAACAACGTGGACGACGTCTACGACGTCCTGAAGGAGCAGAGGGCCCTGGGATGAGCGCGAGCGTCGAGATCAGCGCAGTGGCGCCTTTGACTTTCTCACGGACGGCTTTCGGTTTTCACGGGAAGTGATTTCAAATCAGGACGCAAAAGCACAAGTTTGTCTGTTTGCATTAGGGGCCAAGTGGGGCAGTGACCTGCCAGATCCAGCAGGTGGCGTATGTGTTTTTTTTTTTTCAACCACGTTTCTCTACAAAGGCGCACTCTTTAGAGCACTGTGCTGTCCTCACGACATCTGACTACATGCGGTTGGACAGCCCGAAAACCCAGTCAGGAAAAGTCTAACCGCGATGAGAACTTTTCTCACAGAGCAGAAATGCATCAAAGATCTACTATTCACAACAGATGCGTTTACATGTAAAAGGCGACAACGTGAGAGTTAAAATGACAAGCGTTTGTCATGATCACGTTCTGTGATTGTCCAGCAGGTGGCGTTCCGGTTTTCCCGTCGCGCACTTGTCTGGCGTCACAATGATTGGGAGGATTTAAGGAGCTCCCGGAGGTCCCGTCAAGGCGGCACCTAATTTCGCCTCGTTCAAGTCATTGTTCACGTGCATTTCGTCTCGAGGCTCTCTTATTGCTCTCGTTACGTTTTTGGCTCTCGCCTTGATGTGGTTTGGTTTTTCTTGTACTTTGGTTTGCAAACTATTTCATTTTTTTTTTTCCTTAGACCATGAGCATGAAAAATGCTGCTTCAACTCAGTCAGACCGATGTATATCATTTGTTAATTTATTGAAATCGGGACATCGAGACATGTTCGCCCACACATTATTTACATGACCTTCCCAAGTGCTTTTTCCGTTCCTTAAGTGCAGAAGAAGACGAAATGACACACTAATTGCAACACAGTTTATGCAAACAGAATTGTTTGTTTCTAAAAAAGCCATCTACTTCAAAATAAAAATACCATTTGAACAAATGACGTTGTATCACTTAACGCAGGTTCAAAGTCGGCAGACAATATGAAAGCAAGTCTGAAGGTCGACGGCGCCCACATCACTCACGAACCACCTGCCGAGTTGCGGGACACCAAGTATTAGACCTCAAAATGAAACACAATCTTTTGACTTAACATTCGAATTCATTTTAACGCCGCTTGCAACGTGCAACGTGACATTTCTGTGGCGTGAGTAATTCGTCCTTCTAAAACAAAACACGTTCGGTAAATTGTTTTATTTTGAGTTGCGTGTACAATCTGAGCTATATGCGGTGAATAGGAAATAAACCCTACGGCTTATTGCAGAAATAGAAAGAAATTGGGTCTTTTTTGGTTAGGGTTAGGGTTATTTAGGTTATTTATGATGATTTATTTAGCCGCATGTATGCTAGTGAAAAATATCTGTAATTTTTGGGTGCCACTACCTGGAAAGTTAAGGGGGGAAAAAAAAATTGCCCAATAACATTTTCACTGGTCAACACTGGAATGTGATCGACACCTTTGATGACACAAGAGGCACAAAAAAGCCCCATGCCTGAAATCAAACACGAAGCCCAAGTATCCATTTAGAAAGGCAGGAAAGGAGGAGTCACTTTTCCCTTTTTCGCTTCAAGTGGCGGCATGCTTCATGAGCTCATTCAGTTTCTCCAGTAACTATTTTGTTGTATTTTGTTTTTGTTTTTTTTCCCTTCAACAGTATGCGGATCCCGTGTCAGACATCCTGGACAAATGGGGAGCTTTCCGAAGCCGTCTCTTCAGGGAGGCGTGCGTCTTCCACAAAGGCAATTACGTCAAAGACTTGAGCCATTTAGGGAGGGACCTCAACAAAGTCATCATCATCGACAACTCGCCGGTCTCCTACACCTTCCACCCGGACAACGCGGTACGTTTTGCGTGCATTCTTGCCCAAGATGCCTCCTAAATGTCGGCGTCCTTTAGGTTCCTGTGGCATCCTGGTTCGACGACATGTCGGATAGCGAGCTCCTCGACCTGATCCCCTTTTTCGAAAGGCTAAACAACGTGGACGACGTCTACGACGTCCTGAAGGAGCAGAGGGCCCTGGGATGAGCGCGAGCGTCGAGATCAGCGCAGCGGCGCCTTTGACTTTCTCACGGACGGCTTTCGGTTTTCACGGGAAGTGATTTCAAATCAGGACGCAAAAGCACAAGTTTGTCTGTTTGCATTAGGGGCCAAGTGGGGCAGTGACCTGCCAGATCCAGCAGGTGGCGTATGTGGGGTTTATGTTCAACGTGCCGAAGTCCGATTGTGAACTAACCGCGATGAGAACTTTTCTCACAGAGCAGAAATGCGTCAAAGATCTACTATTCA